ACCAGTGTCATAACCATTAAAAAAAAAATAAAATCAGTTATATAATGTATAAATTTACTATTAAATAGCACAGTAAGTGAATTATAGCTAAAACACAACACCAATATGATTTACACAAATAGTGTAGAGTAATAACAGTCAGATAAATTAATACTGTTAAGTAAACAAATATATACATGATATAAAGTTCTAAAAAGGTACAACTTCCTTTGACAAATGAATGGATAAACAAATTGTTAGGGAGTCGTAGATGGAAGACAGTAGTAAAAAGGAATGAACTACTGATACATGCAAAATAATGGACAAATCTAAAGTAATTATGCTGAATAAATGGTGACTGCCAGTAAAGAATAAATAGAGGGCAAATAAAATTTGCCAATCTATGCATCCAAAGAAAGCTGTCTACTTAGGGACCGAAGAACAGAGAGGGAAGGGAGGAACTGCAAAGGAGAGTATGAGTATGTTCACTGTCTTGACTGTGGTTGTTTCACTATGTATGTCTCAAACTGTACCATATCGTATTATTTAAATACTGCAATTTACTGTAAGGCAATTATACGCTAATAAAGCAACTGAAAAAATGAAAGGAAAGCAAGCAGCAAAGGATAAAAGGGAAAAAAGTTTTATTGACAACTTCAAAAGTTATGTAACCTTCCTAAATCCCAATTTTCTAATCTGTGAAACTGGACTTCAGACTTTTAATAGTTAAATAAGATAATTAGTGTATGCACAGTTCTTAAGTGTATGATGTTTGCCTATCTTTTCCTCTACTTATTCTCTGCTTCTAGGAATTATGAGAGAAGCAAACTTTGCCAAGCTCTAGGCTAGGTACTGTGACACAACAGATTATTGCCGAATGGTAGAACACAAAAAAAGAAGCAATGACAAAATTTTATAAATATTACAGAGAGATACAAGATATGAGATTATAACAGTAAGACACATTAATTAATTAACTGATTAACTAACTTCTGGAGAAGTGACAACAGAGCTGAGCTCTGAAGAATATACAGGTACAAACTAGATAACAAGGTAGTACTATGTACAAAACCTAGAGTGGAGAAAATGTGGCAATAAAAGAGTCACTATCTCTGAAGTAAAAGAAAAAGGGGAAATCTGGTGTAAAGTTTGTTTGAAAGGTAGTTTGGAATCAGACCATACAGTTATTTTGGGGAAAAAAGAAAACAACAAACTTTACTGCCATCAAATCAATCCCATTTCATGGTGATCCTACAGAATACAGAAATGCCCTATAGTGTTTCTATGGCTATAAATCTTTACAGGAGCAGACTGTCACATCTTCCATGATGCAGCTGGTGGGTTTGAACCACCAATCTTTTGGTCAGCAGTCCAACTTTCAATCTACTGCACCACGAGGGACGCTAAGAATAGTAAGAAACCCTACCAATATTTTAAAAAGAGATGACAAACTGATCTAGAGTTCAAAGAATGTACGCCAACCATAGCACGAAGACTAGTTCTAAAGAAAACAAGAATGGCAGAAACAACTTACCAAAGTTTATGTAAAAATAACAGCTGTGATTAATCAAAAAAATCACCACCGAGTACCAAATAAATGCCAAACATTATCCCAAATGCAGAATATATAAGCAAAAAAAGAGAAGAAAAAAAATCCTTGAATTTGTAGAATTTATATTATAGTAGGAAGAGATAAAGAAACAAGTGAAATGTAACTTTGTTAGATCTTAAAGAAAAATAAATTTAGGAAGGATAAATGGGAGGGAACTCACCTCAGACATTCACCAAAGACAATGCTGATTCTGTGTATGTACAATCAAACACCTAATGGGATTTATTTTCCTGGTTCCAAGGTTTGGGGTCAAGGTTTTATGAGACATTGCAATCAACTGACCAAATACTATTTTTAGTGTTTCTCTTCTTCTTCCTAGATAATTTCATAATATCTGAGATCTTAATGTAAAATCTTCCAAAGTACTATTAGTTTCTATTCACTCCAGCAGCATAGGAAGGAGAGTCAAGAATTAAGAGGAAGAACTGAAATATGTGCCTGTCTCCATGAACAACTGCTCCCTTTGCATAAGACAAGAAGAACTGGATGGTGCCTATATCTTGCTACTGAACATTTATCAAAAAGTAACTGAGGCTGGATGACTCTTTCTAAAAGATAATTGTCATCCTGAGTAAATGTAAGACTGAAACGGAAGTAATCTTTACATCAGGCAAAAGTCTGCTTAATTAGTACCGAATATTTGCCCTGAGTATTACACTTTTTTTTAAGAATTATAGGTAAGTAATCAAACTGACAAAAGTAATTCTAAAGGTTAGATGAGACGTTCAGGGAGCAGTGAGTTAATGCTGGTAAACGAATTTGGAAAATGAACATTATGTAAGAGGGTACAACTTGAAGAATATAGTAAATGTCACTGAATTATACATGTAGAAACTGCTGAACTACTGTATATTTTATTATATACATTTTTGCCAAAAATTTCTAAAAGCAGCATTTTATCCTATAAAATATACTTCCATTTTTATATTGTATCACCTTAGTAGATAATCAATGAAAAATACAGATTTTATTTTAAAGCAATGATTTTCAAACCACACAGAATTACTCAGTGAGAAGCCCCTTAGGGATATATATATAATCACTACTTTAAAATACAATCATAGTATATGTTTAAGAAGTATCCTTTGTTACTTTATCCAAATTAAACTAAAAATTTTGCCAATTATTTCTATTCTAAAATTTAAACTGACAGTAAATCAACATGTAAACTAAAGTACAAAAAAATACATACCTTTCTCTTACAAAATCTGCTAATTCTTTTGTTGATATTTGTCCATGTTTCATATTATGATAGAGGACATCAAAGCCACAATTTTTTTCCCCCTAAAATTTAAAAAGATTTTCAGTTTAAAAAAAAAAGGTTCAAAACTACTTGAAAACACAATAAATGTTATTAAACAAATATGCAATTCTAATATTGAGGTGGGCTGTTTTCCCTTCATTTAGCCATCTGTTGTTCACTATACATATGTACAAATGTTTACATCTCACAATAAACACACAGATTCATGCATGTGTATGTAACTGTATATTCCTAACAGTATAATTTGTTAAATTAAATCAGAAACTTTAGAATGAAGAATGCAACTCAGAAAAGATAATCATACATCTTTTTAAATGCATCATGAAATTCCATTTCAACTCCTTTGAAGCAATAAACAATTCCTCATTAACTTAGAGTTGATGCTTTAAAAGAAATTAACTTTTAATCAGGAGTCAACAGAGGTCTAACCATGTAAACAGTGAATACAAAACAAACAAACAAAAACCCTGTGTGGTCACTAATTTAAACTCAAAAACTCAAATTCACTGCCAGTGAACTGAAAATGACTCATAGTCACCAAGCTGGAAACTACTCATAATTGACCCTCCACCTGGTTTCCAGAGGGTTTCCAAGCTGTCAAAGTGCACCTGAAATTCCTCATTTTTCTGCATCACAACTCCCTGAAAACTAGGTCATTAAGTTACTAAGTCTTTAAAATCTTTCAGTAAGAAGTAGGAAATAGAACAAAATCTTAACAGAAGTTTAACAGCCTACTGGCTAAGAATTTTTTTTGTAACAGACAATTTAGTTAAGACAATCAGTCTTTAATGGAAAAGTAACAGAAACATACTACACAATACTTTAAAAAAAAGTTTCACTATCATCCAATAAATCCTAGGTTAGCAAATCATATCAAAGAAAATGTTAGAAACATCAATTTAAAGGAGAAATAACTCTTTACTCAAAATCACAATTGACTGTTTTCCTTCAGTAAAAATAATAAAGAATAAATTAAAAAAATAATATGTGTGCTAAAAATATTGGTGTTAGGTAATTTGAACCCTAATCCTTTTACACCTCAAAGAAAACAGAAAACATTATAGCCACTTTAGTTAGGCTGAAGAGATCTTTAATAAACTTGTCAGATAACTGTATCATGTTGTCATTGTTGTTAGGTGCCATCGAGTTGAACAGGACTCATAGCAACCCTATGAAAAAAAGATCTGTACCACAACAAGATAAAGGTAAATAATCCAATTGAAAACCAGGCAGAGGATATGAACAGACACTTCACCAAAGAGGACATTCAAACAACCAACAAGCACATGAAGAAATGTTCAAAATCCCTAGCTCTAAGAGAGATGCAAATCAAAACAACTATCAAGATTTAAACAGAACAGCAAACAACAAATGCTGGCGAGGTTGGGGAGAGACTGGAACCCTTATTCACTGCTGGTGGAAGTATAAAATGGTGCAACCAGTGTGGAAAGCAGTGTGGCGCTTTCTCAAAAAGTTGCAAA